AAACGGATGTGCACAGCGTATGCCCAACGTCTGCTCCTCGAAAGTAACAACAAGCTCTCGCACCTTTGTGTTGCGGAGTGGTTTCGGGCAAGTCTCGTCCGCCGGATCCCCTGGCCGAACAAGGCAGAGGAGTGTCTTATCGCATCGTCACGCTTCATCACTGAGCATTTCCAGGAATAGCGAAGAGTTGTGAGCCATCTATGGGAATGAATGATGGTCCACGAGAAGCGCGGTTTCTTTCACCTCGGGACGTCGTGATACCCACAACAGCAGCCGTTGTTTGGGTGGGAACGTTATCTTTGTATGCCTCATACCGGAGGTTTGATTTTTGTGTGAATGGATGTATGGCCATGCCAAAGTTACTAAGACGTGATCCGCGATGAAAGAATTCTTCCAACGTATTTGGAACATGCAAATCAGTGTGGAACTGTCCTTTGCCCACGCTGTAATAGTCCATACATTAAGTGCGTTGGTTTACGCCGTGATGGGCTCCAATTTAACACAGCATCTTATTCGGTTTCCTCACTTTCTTGGAAAACAGAACGTGGCGTGATTGGCGCGGTATCATTAGAGTCGGATGGTGCCTAGAGCATGTCTTGGTCCCGGTGTCCTGATGAAAGTCGATCGGTCGGAGCTGTTTCTTCTTTCATCATCTTTCTGGGGGTTTGTATCAACACGATCCTCACAAGTGTGACACTTCTCCCTTGTCCCAAATGTTATATAAACCCCCTCTCATCTTCCTGCCCTCCGACTGTACGGCACTTGTGTCCCTGGCTCAAACTCATCCTCACCCATGAGTCAGCTCTATGTCGGCGAGCAATCGCTCGTCGACTCCTCTCCAACGGGTGTAACCCTCCCCGGTGGCTCCACTTACGAACCTTCTGATGTCTTAGTTGATATGACCCACGACTGTTATGAATCTCCCCTCCAACCCCAGATCGTACCGTCATGTGTCGGTGAGGCGCAAACCGACCACCATGCCACGTGGGCGTCTATTATCCCGGCTCCCGAGGTAACCCCACCTGTTTCGGGACCGAAGGAAACCTTACATTCTCTTATATCGCAGTCTATCGGATGCCTCTCGGACCGACCCGAGGTCGAAACGGAAACCCGGGTTTCTTTTCATCTTTCGGGAAACTCGGAAAATCCGTTCGGGAACCAATCCGATTGTTCGTCGCTGTCGTCAGTTCATTTTTCTTGTGATGACGGCGCTTTCGTGCCACCGTATAATTCGCAACAGCAACCTGTGAGTGTGATCACACCCACTCCTGCCGTCCCCCCTCACCTACCTACTCATCCTGACCAGTTGGCCTCTGGCTCGATTCAATCCAGCAATTTCTGCGGATCTCGGGCAACAATACCCAAGATGATCTTGGATCAGGAGCTTCATCTGTGCCCTGGATGCTATGCGACCCCTTTCCCCTCGGTGTGGACCATGGAGTATCTTGGATGTGTGCACTGCGAACTCTGGCTTCCTCGTTCCATGGTGGTACAGTCAGAACCGCCGCCTACCCCAGTCTCGGCTCCAATTCAAGCTGTTACTCTGGATCGCCCCCGATCCCCTGACACCTGCTCCTCTCAAAATCGTTCCAGGAAGGGAAAATCACCACAAACACGCGGTCGGCGCTCGGCCAAAAATTCATCCCCTACGATGCAGGAATTTCGCTGTTGCCCTTTCACGAGTTCGGGAAACATCAGTCTCCCATGCCCCCACATCAGTTGTTCTCCTCCTCCAGATGTCGGACTCCTCTCAAGGCGTTTCGTGGAGAACCACAAGTGGGAACGCGCTCGCCGAGATGCCGTCGCTTCCTTCCGTTACGAGAATTGTGGTTGTACGTCTGCCTATCTTGTGTCACGTCATTCCCCGTCATTCACAAATCAACGCTGATCCTCAGTTTACAAACTTCCGATAGAAATCATCTGGATAATCGTAGACCTTTATCCACGGCTCGATTATTCCTACATGCGATCTATCCGGGCGGAGCCTTCTGTATACAATCACAGGTTCGAAGTTCTCCGGAACTTGATCGGCGTGTCGAAATGTTTTAGGAGGACGTTCTACAACACGTATTGGGAGACTTTCGAGATCGCTCTCACGTACCCGCGAAAGCGTGCGCCGGACCCTAGTCAGCTTGATCTGGGAATCGACCCCGCCCGGTATGTATCCAGGGTTAACGAACTCCAAGGTCTGAGAAAGACGTTTTGGAATCTACAAGCAACCGCGGCATGTATTAGGTACGATCTATTGGGTCTTTTGGGGCTTGAATTGTCTCAAATGCTCATTTGCAACAAATTATGCATGTCTAGGACGTTGACGTTCAGGGTAGACAGGGACTCCGAAATAATGCAGTTGTTCGTTGATTGCCTCCTTGCCCTACCCAGCCTTCACACGTTGGAGATTGCTCCTACAAGCCTCCCCCTCGTCACTTTATTCAACAACGCTTTCAAAACCCGTCCTCAGTATCAGAGTGTTCGCAAGCTCATCGCTCCCTCCGGTGCCCATCCCATACTTCAGTGCCTCCCGAATCTTGAGGAACTAGTGTGCACTAGGGGCGAGAAACCCCATATTCTCCTCACGAAGGTCTTTCAGGCCTACGATAGCTTGAACACCGTAGCCTCGTTCAAGCATTTTGAATTGATTGGGAGCAACTGGACTGAAATGGTCGGGAAAGGTAACTTGCACCAATTCCAGCTTGTCGTCCGATCTCTGACCGTTTGTTCTCTAGAGTTGCTCCGTTGTTTCCCGAATATCCAGAAACTAGCTATGAGGAAGGTAAACAAAATTCGCAGGTCCGATTCCATTTCGCAGCTTACCATGGCTTTCTGTTTCAGCCCTCAGTCGCGCATTTGGAGAAACTGACCTCCTTGACGGGAATTTCGGAACTCGAGCTCTGGGTTCCCTACGGCACCGAAACGGCACTCGTTAAACGTTTGAAGGCGAAAGCGGCAGAGGTCCTACGCAGGAGCAAGCCTCGCGTGGTTTGCGGATGCGATAACACGATGGATGTGGACCCCGAGCCTTCTGTGAAACTGGAACAAGGATCGAATGTGGAGCAGGGATCAGGCGTGGGACTCGAACGCGAGGAGATTAAACCTGCCGGGTGTATGTGTAAACCTCCCAAACGAGTTTTTCGTTTGAAGTATCTGGTTCGAAAGCACGGACAGTGGGGAGCTCCCTTCTGGGGAAGTGAGCGGGTTGAGGAAATCGAAGTATCCCCTCTCGAGGACTAGGGACACCGCTGGTTGGATTCCCTGATCCATGAAAGGAGTTGCCTGTTGATTTTCTTCGGGTTATTTGGGTTGCTGGATCCCCCCAGGTCTGATTATCTAAAAGTTAACTATCGATATCGATGGACCTTGTTTGGTAGCCTTGATGGTCACAAGGCCGCGAATGGTATAGTACGATATGTACCCTCAGTATGTAGTACGCACCCCATCGAGTGGTGCTCAAACCATGTAGATATATGACAATACAAATGAGTTTCGCCTTGTTTTCCCCCAGGACCCCAAACTAAACCAACCGTGGGCGGTTGTTGTGGTTGGTTGGGTTTTGGCCTTATTGTTGTATGGATGGAGAAAAGTGGAGATCGTGAAGGGGGTCAGCGTTACTCCCATCAGAGTGTGGAGAGAGAGGGAAACCAGACGCCATGGACACAGCATGAGAACAAGGAGGGATACCATGGCGGAGTCCACAAATCGGATCAGGACAGGAAGGTAAATCAGTAATATTATTTCATTATACGGTACCTAGTACAAAAAATTACATCCCCGATCGTAGACCATGGCTGGAAGACTTCGACGCCGTTGGCTATGCGTAGGGAAGGTTCAACGACCAAGGGTAGCATCACCCGTGTCTCCTGATCGCCACACCCACGTTGACGAATTGCGCCTTTAAGTAAGACTGATTGGGGTGTCGTGGTGAGGATCTCGGTCGAGTGGATACGTAGATCCGGTTTGGCGTTGGGTAGGGATTGTAATTCGGTCTGCCATAGCGAGTCGCTCGTTTCCTGTCGAGAATAGAATGTTTTGGTGTGTTCGGCCATTCCGCCCCTCGATGTGTCCTCAGTTATCGAGAAAGGGATTCGCACTATGAGGAGCACCTACCTGACAAACTTCCGAGCCCTTCTTGACCCCTTCTCGGGGCTAACCTCTAACCCTCTCATAGGTTCAGGCCCAGCGAGACCCTTATACCCGAACCGATCCATGAACAACGTTGTGACCTCCAAGTTTCCAGCCTCCGTGCTCGGATCCATCGCGGTTGCGATCCGCGTACTAGATATTGTAGTCCTTCCTTTTGGGCGAGGCGAGTTCGCCGTGACTGCTTCGAGTAATTGAGTAACGGGTGGTTTAACTGGGGTCATGGGCCGTTTGCTGGGAGTTTCGAGCGTGAACGCAGGTGCCATCTTCAACCCACCACTAGAGACGGGCTTCTTGTTAGATAGTTGGTTAAACGCAAAGGAATGCTTGGCTGGTGTAACGGCAGATGTAGAAAGTGGTTCCTTGGGAGTGGTAACGTCCAGGGTAGCTTTACTCGTTGTTGGGATGTTCTCGGAAAGCCGTATACGCGAGGCTGATTCGCTCCTCCTTTTAGATGGAGACGGAGTAACAGGTACATCAGGTGGCAAGAATCGTGGAGGTGCGGAAACGCGTGCTTGGACGAGGGGTTTCTTGGGCGTCACCGCATTAGGCTTAGAGATCTGCGGAGGAAAGGCACTCTCGAAGACGACAAGCCGAGGTTTAGGTCGCTTAGGAGTGGTTGAGGCAAATCCATTGGGTTCAAATAGTCGAGGTCGTTTGGATGGAGGCTAAGAAATCTGGTTAAGTCTCGCTCCTCGATCTGGGTAGCAGATCTGTACCTCGTCGAGTGGCATGGGGGTTCGGGAACTGAGACAGAGGTAGAGATGTTAGGAACAGTTTGAAGAGAAGGAGAGCACTGTGGGGATGGAAGCAACGAGTCAAGGCGCGAGGACGAGAGCGAGTCAGCTGGAGGGGCAAAAAGAAGCCCGCGGCGAGGGTCGAACTCGCAGCCTTCAGATCTCTGATTGTATCGTAAAAGTCTGACGCTCTAGCCGATTGAGCTACGCGGGCTTATCTTGACCTCTCGAGATGTGCAGGCAGGAGCAGACTGACTGAATGACGCTCATGTAGAGATTTTGAGAGAATTGTTGGCCCCCTAGAAGTTCACTTGATTTCGTGTTTGCACTGCTCTATGCGATGCTGATTCTATCGGGGTACAATGTTTCTATGGTTTTACAGGGTGTTCTACGTTGGGTAAATTCTTGTTTTTCTAAGCCTCTACGAGTAAAGAGCGGCCAGTCATATCTGTGGGAAATGTCAGTATCCAGTAAATCACCAGGAGTACGTCGTCCATTACCTTCGGGTTGATCCAGCCCCTAACAACGAGCACCGTCCAGGTCAGCACCATCGCCACGTTCGTGTTCAGAAACACTTACAAGAAGGGCAAGAATGGTAGGGGCAACATCACACAGAGCACCAGGCTCATCGCCTTCCTTATCTTCCGCAAACGAGTACTTGGGATTGCCGGTCATAATGAATGGAACAGGGTTGGTGGTATGTGCAGTGTGGGGGTTTCCAGTTTCTTCGTTAATCATCTGTTCGGCATTACCGTGGTCGGCGGTGATAAGCAAGATGTACCCCGCCTCCTCGCAAGCCTTATAGACTGTGCCGACGGCCTTGTCGGTAGCTGAGATGGCCTTGATCGCCGCATCCAAGATACCAGTGTGACCAACCTGGTACCGATCTACGTAAGTGCTGTTTCCCCAGTGTGGCGAGGATTACTATACCATGTCGGGGGGAGCAAAGTTGCACATGACAAATTCCTGTTCTTTGGTTTTGACAACCTCCGCGACCTCGTCAGCGACTTCCTGTGCACTCATCCGCGGCTGTAGGTCATAGGTGGCGACCTTGGGCGAGGGGATTAAATGTCGTTCTTCGTTCTCGAACTTTTTTTCTACGCCACCGTTGAAGAAGAAAGTAACGTGGGCGTATTTCTCAGTTTCTGCGATGTGAGCCTGCTTGAGACCCTTCTTGGAGAGCCATTCGGCGAGGACATCCGTCATACGCTGGGGAGGATAAGCAACTGGGAAAGGGAACTCGGCATTGTACCTCGACATGGTGGTTATATGCTGTAAAAATACATTTAACCAGAGACCTTGCTCTGGGAAAAGGAAGCTTACCAGATCTTTCGGGATTTCGGTATCAATTACATCATCAAGCTTTCCAAGAACGGTGGCGATCTCTCGCATCCGGTCAGAACGGTAGTTGAAAAGGAAAAGGGTATCGCCCTCTATGGGACGGTCAGCCCATTGCAAGGAGTGCAAAACCACTGTCCGCACCTTTGATCCTTCCCTCGTCGCCGCCAATAATGATTGGCTTCAGGAACTCGTCCGTTTCATCCTTCTTGTATCGCTCCTCGATGGTGGCAATAGGATCCTCGGACGCTTCACCCTTACCCTTGATCAAACACTCGGCAGCGACCTTGACCCTCTCCCATCTCTTGTCACGATCCATAGCATAGTACCTGCCGACGATGGTAACAAGCTTTCCGACCTTCTCCCTCTCGATGAAGTCGATGAGGTCCTTCGCATACTTGGCAGAAGAACGAGGGGCAGTGTCACGACCATCGCCGAAGAAATGGACATAGACTTTTGGAACCTCGAGCTCCTTTGCAGTCTCAAGAAGTGCGAAGAGGTGGTTGATATGCGAATGAACACCACCGTCAGAGATCTACAGATGAATTCGTGGGCATTGCATCGTGACGATCTTGTGGTTCGACCATACCAATCCGAGAAGATGCAATCGACCGTTTCCATCTTTTGCACGCTTGAAGCTTTCCACAATCGTGGGGTTCCCGTGGAATTCCTTCTTCTTGATGGCGACATCTATCCTGACAATGTCTTGCCAAACGATACGTCCAGCGCCAATGTTCAGATGTCTACGGGGGAACCCGTGTTCATTGGGAACCTTTGTAAGATGGAAGTTAGGACTCACCCGACTTCCGAGTTGCCCATGAGGCCATCGCTAAGACCAACAGCCAAACCGTGGGCAGCTAGTTGGCGATAGCTGTGGTCCTTCGCAATCGCGTCCATATTTGTGGTATCCGCGGCGTGAATCGCGTTGCCCTTCTCCTGCTCGGAGATACCCCAGCCATCGTGAACGCTGTGTGCGCGGAGACTTATCAAAAGGGTGCCTAAATGAACACTCAAATATCAGAACTTACATGAGACAGACCTTGTTCTTTACTTCGACCATCTTCAGTTATCTCGGGTATCGTAAGGCTCGGATTGCACCGCGACGGGGTATCGGAGGAGGGAACGAGCTGTTTGCGCCTGTTTGGCCTCGACCTCTTACCTCTCCTCTTCCGAGCAAGTGGTCGGTGCTCTCTTCCAGAAACACGAGCAGGACTACCATCCGCGAGACTTCCCCCATCTCGGCAGTGGGGTTCCCCCTGCAACTGTGAACCGAAGCTGTTGGTATCGGACCGGTTCTCAGCCTAGCGAATAGGGCAACGATTCCCAAAGGTTTACCCCGATGCGGTCTTTTGCGCTCTCTGGCCTTCGGTGTTCTCAAATCCCCTGAGCCCAGCTGCTTGGCTACAACATAGCCTAAAGGTTTCGTGGGATATTCGGGTGAAAACTCATGGGTTAGACTCCCCGGTTGGGCCTGGTTGGGAGAACCTCCCCGGACGTGTGTGTCTTGGACAGTCATGCATATTCAACGTTTTCTGTACGCAATCCGGCCCCATGGGTCCTCATGGCTATGTTGCACGCCTTCCATCATCTGTCTCCCGCAGTACATACCCCCTCGTGTGAACAACGTGGACCGAAAATCCCAGTTTGATGTAGCATCGAACTAAACGCGTGTGGGGTGATTATTCCCCACAACAGGCCAGAGGGCGATACACCAATATGATATATTCGACGGTCGGGCCGTATCCGCTGGGGTAAGGATGTACCCTTTGTTTCAGTGCTTCTCACCGGGATCTGGGATACAGGCTAGCGCTTGCTACCTGCGTTTAGTCACGGTTTGTTCTGTCACCTTAATCGGAAACAGTGGGGTTGTGATGTTTGGCTGGTTAGACCGGATAAATCCTGGCTCCGTGAAACACCAGGTGACTGTTCCCTCTTGGTTTTCGGAAGGCTTGCGGTTGAACCGCTGACGGGTCTTGTGTGCTATGCCGCGTCAGACAGACAAACTCGGAGCCACCTAGCGTTTTTATTTAGCGCGGGTTGTCTTACTCTTATCCTGTTACATCTGCTTCGAAGCCGGTCTAGCACCACGGACTGGACTTGCACCTCTGTCCACACCGCAGATCGCACTTGCTTCTGTATTGCTTTCAAACTCTTTGACCTCCGTACGCCTATGCTTTCCTGCCCCAGATCAAGATCTCCCTGCTGCACCCCTCAGCTGTATGCGTGACACAGCCGAAAAGAAGAACAAAACCTGACGGTGAAACATTCATTCCTTCGTATCCACCTTTGCCTTCTCCTTTCTGGCTTTCGCCTCCATCTGGCTGTCAAATCTCGATTGTGTCTACACCGGAATTTCTCGCCCAGGGGTTTACGTTTAGCAGTTGGTCGACAAATAAATAGAGTTCACTTGCTCGGTCCCCCTTTTCTAATCACAACACTAATCCTTGGGTGAGCAAACGCGAATGGAGTATCCTACTGCTATAAACACATCTGGCTCAAGCTCATCTGCAGGGAACCAGATGTCGACCAGTTCTGACTCATGGGCCATACCTTCTACCGACTTCCCATCGCTCGTGGTGCAGAGTTGGATACCCTGCTACCAACTTCTAAGACCCCTCCAGCTTAGCGTAATATGGCTGCAGGTTCTTGGTTCTTCCACTCATTCCAGACGGGATCCCCTGAGCCGACATCCACAGGAACGACTATGGTAATAACGACACGGAGGGAGGTGCAGGGTTAGGATACATCATGGTGTCGCCTCGATTCAACAAGCCACCACTTCGAACAGTTATCGTCATTTCTGAGTCTGGATCGAAAACCGTGACCGAGAGCAACCGTTGCTTCACAGTCGGACTAGAAACCAATACTCCCCACACCTCAGTCTCTCTTCGACAATTTCTCAAGGTCAGGGGTCTAACTCACGATCTCGGTCCACTACACCTGAGTTTCCGAAACCCCTTCAGACGTTGGGACGGTCTACCTACCGATCTTATCTGTCCTAACGGCCATCACCCCGGCCGACCAAAGTTAGGGAACGCCCTTTAAGATTCGATTCGACAAATTCGCAACGCGAACCACATGTACAGGGTGTTTTCGGTGGTGCCCGCGGACCCTCGGGCTTGGACTTGATCCCATGGAGTGCTCGAGGGGAGGTGGTGGATATAACAAATACGTACACGAGTAGGTGTCGGCGGTATTGAGTTGTAGTAAGAGCGTATAAAACAATCCTGTTCGGTTGTATCATCCAGTACAACACCCGCCCATTATCCGTACCTGTGTCGAAGAACAAGGGCTGTACTAAGAGAAAAAAGAAATACACCCCATTATCCCTAAAATTCGGGAACAGGACAACAATGAAGACAGATAGAAGATGAAGCGATGGGGGTGGGGCGCAGGAGAGGGAGAGTAGGAGGGTGGGATGCATTAGGAACCTATCATTCTTGGAAACCACCTAAGGCACGCATCCCCTCGGCCACCCGCCGATACTCTCGCAGCAAATCCCTAACCTCCGAAAGCCGAAGATCCTCCTCGTTACATTCCATGAACCGCTGAACAGGAGGTGCAATCCGCATGGGAACCGGCGAATGAGCTCTCGAAGACAACGGGGTCTCGTTCCCGTTCCTCAGCACCGCGGGGGACAGAGTGTTCTTCACCATGTTTGGTGAAACGGACTGTGATGGGTAAGTAGAGATCAGTGGAACAGAACTACAATGAAGGGTTAGTAGAAAAGGTGACGCTTACTTTGGTGTCCGAACCCGACTTGGGATCGAGGGTGTGAGACAGCTTGTGTAAGCCTGGCACATTAGCCAACCTATCAGCGATACTCTTCCGTCCAATAGCAGCCTTTCTCCTCCTTCTCTTCCTCTGGCTCATCAT